GATATCTGAGAAACCTTTAGTGCTGCCCCAAAATATCCTGCTTGGGGGGAGGCTAAGGTCCCTGCCCCCTCCTTCCAGTCTCCCTCTGTAGCTATTCCACGCTTGTTCTCAAAAACCAGTTTCAGTCCAGGACGTCTCTTAACTGTCAATAGATCATCATTCTAGTTACCAAAAAAATGTGCATTTCTACAAGTTCCTTTTTCTCTCTTTAAACCCATTGTATCCTTTTCTTCATCCTCTTCTTTCTTTGCTCTTAGTGAAAGAGCCCTTGTCAAGGTCGAAGTTCTCCTTCATGTTTTCTCTTCCTGATTCTCATCCCCCTGGGGTGGTGCCCTTCAACTGTTCCCCTGCTCTGTTTCTTCCCCACCAGTTCTTGCTGTCCTCCAGGCTCCTCTTCTGTCATCTGAGGAGTCCAGCATGAACAGCCTGCAAGTTACCTTGTGTCCTTGCTGTGCTCTCATTTCCTGATCTTATGCAATCTGGTTTTCATTATAACTTCCTCTGAATACCATTCACCAAGTTTAATTGGAAGCCTGAGCAGCTTTTAATATTTGATTACTAATCTCCACTTTGAAAGTCTCTTCCTTCCGGCTCAGTAACATGCTGATCTCTAGGGCCTCAGATTATTCAGCATCTCATCCATCTACTGGCTCAATGACCCTCTACCCCTTAAATGTAGGTAGTTCCTTTAGGTTTGTCCATAGGCATCTATTAATTCCACTTTTCCACTTAGGGATCTAAATCCCCATTCCTATGACTCCCATGAGGACAGTTCCTCACTAACCTCTCTTGAACTCTATATCTTTTTCACAACAATCTGCCTGCAAGTCTACCTGTGTCCTACATGGTCATCGCAGTAGAACTCATAGCTTCTTCCATTCCACATACCCCAAATACCATTTCCCCATTCTCCTAGGCCCAAAACCTTTGTATTGTTTTCAAGTATTCATCTCAACCCCCCACAGAAATAACTGCAAAGTGCTATAATTTCCAATGCACAACACTTCTGCCATTCGTCTTTCCATTCTTACTAATCCTCAAGCTAGTCTAAGACCTCTGGTTTTTTCTCACTTGTGCTCTGCCATTTTACCTGCAATTTCCCCACACTTGACTGTATTGTAACTCAGTGGCTCTTGCCTGGTTGCACTTCAGAATCATGAGTGTTTGTGAAGCAAAGGTCAAAGCTCTTTTCCCAGAGATTTTAGTCTAATCAGTCTGGGGGAGTGTGTCTACTTTTGCTCACTGTTGTTGGTGGTTGCCTTTTCATCATGACTTTAAACCATGGGCTGAAAACCACTATTATCCCAACTCAACTGCACCTAGTTTTTTGGTATCAAATTTACTGGAGTTTTTAATCTGACTCTCTTCTTATGGCACTTACTTTTGCTGTGGACTTCACTGTGCTCTAAAATGTTCATTCAATTTCATTGCTTATAAATTAATCTGAAACCTTCATTCAATCCCCAAACCCTAGCCAGCCTCTGCTTTTCTTCCCTTCCTTCCTTCCTTCCTTCCTTCCTTCCTTCCTTCCTTCCTTTCTTCCTGTCATTTCCCATGAGTGCATATGCAATAAGTAGTCTTTTATAAAGCACATTTTGATATCTAGGTCATGACCTTAAATAACATCTCTAAACACAGATTTCTCAAGCCTAAAACACTAGATTATACTTCTTTCTACATGAAATAATTTCTCAGACGATGCCAATATTCTTAGCTAAATATTCTAAATACCCAGTTCCAAACAGTTCTAAGTTCTATGATAGCTTTTGTAATTAGAATTATTATAGAATCAACCTTTAATAACAGGAAACAGACTACTTAGCGCAGCTTTTTAATCACTGCAATCCTAATGCCAGAAAAACGATTAGGAGCAACTGTTGTGTGAGTTCTTAAATCTAGACACTGTTACTCTACCTTTCACAACGTGATTCCATTGTGCTATTACTACCATTTAAACCTGGATGGAGGGCATACTTGCTTTTACAACAAGCTTGTTAATTTTAATATTAATGTATGAAAAATAATAGTAATGGAGTCATCTGCTTATTTTGGATACCTAAAATGCAAAACACAATGTGCAGAATAACATTACATTTCTTACATTACAAACACATTAATTATAAAGTGAAGACTTTTAGATAAAGAAGATGGTAAAGGTTAATGTGCAACAGGAAGGCAGTAAGCTGGCTGTGAAGAAACGCGAATCCTGGATCAGGTGAAGGAGTTCTGGCTCTCACCTAGTGTGCAGTTCATCTTCTCAAACCTTGCCTTTTCCCCCCTACATTCTGAAAATGAAAATATAAAGCTAAACAAATCAGATCCAAAATTACCTGATAAAATCAGTCAAGTTTTGAAAATACAGAATAGCAGGTCCCTCCCCTTGAGATCCTTCTGATAGTGCCAAGCTCTGACATAGACTTCTGAAATTAAAATTTTTTTAACTAGTGACCTATTTATTTTCATACATGGTTGAGAAACATTAAGGTAACCCTGAGATCTATTTCTAGTTCTAAAATTCTGTTGTATATAGAATAATATCCAGAGCAGGTTTTCAGTAAGTACAGCAAACTGGTCAGGTAAATGTAGGCTATTTTGTCTACTCAAAAAAAAATAGAAAAAGTAGGCTTTCCATTTTAGTATCTGTGCTGCCAAAACGAGCACAAAAGAATTTAGTTTGGTCACTCTATTTATTGACCGAAAGAATTCAGTTTTCTTTCAAGATGGTTAAAAACAACAAGCTGTTGAAACTAAAAATGTAAGGCGGAAGGTCAGATAGAGTTTAAGATGAGAACATTGCTTTTTTTGTTGTTGAATATTTCGATGTTTCACAGAGGGATTATTTTGTATAAAGAACTATACATAAAATCTTCCATGAAATATGTCACTCTTATTTTAAAAAGGAATTTGGAAAAAGAGATAATTTTAAGAATTAAATCAGTCCTCTGGGAATTAGTCCTCTCAGTTGGGTTCTAATGTCTACTTCAGAGTAAAAACTACTTAGCTTTTAACTCCTCTCCTTTCACTTCACCAACCACTGGGTTTGGTTTTGCTGTTGTTGCTACTGTTCTAGTTAGGAAAACCTGGGATATTCTATGGTTTGGATTTTGAAAATCATATAACACTGAAGAGAATGTTTAAATATAATAATCTTTAAAGCCTCACCTTAGGCCTTCACAGAAAGAAATGTCTCCACTTTGTCAGATTCCATTTCCTGGCTACATTGCATTTTATAAACTGTTAACAGGAAGCTACTCTATTATAGAAATCCTGTACCGGTTTTATTCACAATTAGATTATCTAAATAAGTAAGACTTCTTTGAAATATAAAAATTGGCAGTAAGGAAGAAACCATTTAACAAAAATATCCATCCTGTCAGGCTACCCTGGCTGGGGAATACAAAGGTTTGCCCATCTGCATGGTGTGTCGTTTCTCACGTAGCAGCACTGCACAAAACACAGGGCAGTGCTACTGTACAGAAGCTCAGTTCTTTCGAAGCCTCAGTTAACGGTTTGCATGTTGATCTGTATTAGGTTCAAAAGCCCAGAACTCATAAGGAGGACACACCCTAGTATTTATCATCCCCAGATTTAAACCATGAGAGGGGAGGAAGTTTTGAATCAGAGAGCGTAGGCTTTGGTACCTGACAAGCCACTTAGAAATGTGAACCTCCAGCCCCCTGTTCCTCCAAGAGCAGTCTTGATAGGATGCCAGAGCACATACATGCTCTACAAGCAGCAGACCCCCGTGTTAGCATGACTTAAATGATTTCTCCATATAGCCAGGAGTTTAATCCCTACAATGTACCTCATTCTCATAAAACTTATACATTTCTTTCAATAAAAGCTACTGCTTCTTAGTCTGGTTATTATAGCTATAGACAGTTCTCCCACCAACTCTTAATTATACCAAGTATCTGAATAATAATAGGAAAAGCCACTTAGTATTTTGAGGGAGCCTGTTTAGATACTTCACTAATGAGCCAAATCTCAAGGAAATACTGTAAATGTTATGAGACCGGTAATAACATCACTTAACTTGCGTGTGAAAGGAAAATACTCAAGTTCACATTTTGAAATACTATAGATCATGAAGTCACCTTTGAAAGCAAACATTCTACTTTTAGGACAGAGAAAATATCAACTGTCATGCTGCCCATTACTAGGTTTAATGGCTTGACAGAAAAGCATTATTACAAGTTTCCACCAATTATACCGTCTGTATAAAGCAGGGGCAAAGTCTATTTATAAAGAACAAACACTCCTAAATTGGTAGTCAGACCATATGTGAGCAACGACCAAAACAAAAAGCTGCATAACAGTTTTGATAAACTGGGTTCAAATTATGTCAACATCTTATTTCAAATGTAAATAATTATTCTCAAGTGTAGATAACTACTGACAATGTCACTTAGCCTTAGGGAACTGCTGGGACTGAGCCAGAGGACTCAAAACTGTTACGAGACCCAAAGAGCCTTGCTATGGAGTTGTTGACTCAAAAGTACAGTATCAGAATATTTGGTTCATGTGAAGGTTTGGACCCAGAGTTTTTACTCCATCAGACATCATGAAGTGCAACTTGACCAGATCCCATTGAGTACTTACTAAAGGAAACTAAAAGGAACAGGAAGTTTTTAAAAATCTGACAAACTGAACTATTCCCTTGGCAGGCTCCAGCTTCCAAAATGTTTTTCAATTCCAGAGACTTCTAGTATGTCCATAAAACTAAATTCTTTTTAAGTTGTACAGATTAAGACTAACTTCTAATTAGCCTAAGACAGTTAATATAAACACTTTTCACTTGGGCAGTTGATGAAACAGAATTTGGATTTCAAAATTTTAACTAAAACACTTTCAGGAAGTATCCAGCTTATAATTGAGATCACTGGTATCTCCATTTAATATGTGAAGGGAGAGAATTAAAATGGGTGCTCATCATGCAAAGTCAAAGCAAATAAAATCACCTCAATAATAGTACAGATGAATAAATGAAGAAATCGGCAGACAGTTTCATTAATTAATATATTTTCTGCATTATAGTTAACATACGTACTTTCTTCGTGTCACCTTATTTTCTGTTAAGTATTGATATTTTGTTATATTCAGACATGAGTACATTTCAACAGTCTTTTGCAATAAATATCATAAAATAATAGAGATTCGCATAATAAATATTCTTTACAATAAAAAAGTTTAACAGACTTTTGTCTTAAAAATAGTCAGAATTCAATTTTGTGATTTATACATAAAATATACAAAAAGCACCACAATTTGTGGTTTAAGGCAATGAAAACACAGAAAAGATTAGGATTACTCAGCTGTGAGCTAACCAAAGGGCCAAAAGGACCATTAAGGAGCCCAGATCACTTTAGGCAGCATAGTTCTGTGACACCTACAGATTGATCAGCTGTAAATTTCAACTTCAGCTATCCAAGTGCCCTCAATGACAACAAAAATTCGGTGACAGAGCGTGGGGTATAGAAGGAAGGTAGCTGAGTCCTTCACGAATATGAAAGCTAGAATAGGAATGAACAGGTTACAAACAATATATCTCCAATGTGAAGACTTACATTGTAAAGTGAGATCTAAAATTACACAGGAGGAAAGGGGAAGGGGCAACAGCTGGCATCTCAGGAAGGCAATGCCAGAACTGAGGAGAGAACTCTGAGGGACAAAAAAACAAGGGCAGTGGTTAAAGGAAAATTTTTATGTTATAACAAAAACACATCCTTCCATTCTATTTACCGGTCCAATGCTAGGAAGACGGCTGTAATTGAAGACAGATTTCATACATAGCTTATTTAAGCAATTAAACGGTTGCTTCTTTGAAAACCAATTTCCCTGCTCCCACAGTACCCAATCACAAACAGCTCTAAATCCTCCCGTCTGAGTGGGTGTCTTATGTTCATGTATACAGCTTTGGAAAGTCGCCTGCAGAACAAAAAGGCCACACAAAAGCCCACTGGCTCTCAAAACTCTCTCAAATGGATGGCAAAGGCTCTTGTCACAAGTGGGAGCCAGGTGCAGTTTCATCCTCTGCTCACTGAAGATCATCCAGAAGAGAGGTGTAGCATCCAGAAGTCAAACCTTGGGAAGGGGAAGAAGAGGCAGGATATGGGGAAAACCTCTAAGGAAAAGAAAATCCATCTCTAACAGCATATTCTCTAACAGCCACCACTGCAATGCTCCACCTTCTGGAGGCCCAGCCCATCTCCGAAGATCAGGATGGCTTCCCCTGACCCCGGGAAGGGCAGCTCTCCAGCTTGCAATAGACGGTGTTGGAGTTCTTACACCTGCACCCTGGGCGATGAATCCAGTCATAACAGCCTCTGCACAGCTTCAGGCAGCCCTTGGCAGGAGGATAACAGAGCAAGCATGGTAAACACAGAGACATGGCTCCCATACACAGGTATCTAGAGCAGCAGTGTGACTGTGAACAGGAGCAAGGGTTATCCGAGTAGGAGTCCCCCTCATCATCATTGGAACAGTGGTAGAAGATGCCCTTGACCAAGCACATGCAGGTCCCATACTCCACCATGCTCTCAGCAGAGCACAGGCATTGTCGGTTGCAGGCCAAGCAGGAGGGCAGGGTCCTGGGAGCTGTGCATTCCCCACACTTGCACTTCCCACACTGTTCACAAATGAACTTGTGCTGTGTCAGGTCCTCTTTCAAGGAACCCTTCAGGTCATCCACAAGCAGTTGTTTGGGCTGGGTCCGGATCGCCCTTTCAGACCTATAACCAGGAACTGGTCTGGTTGGTGGTGACCTTCCTAACAGCCCCTGCTCAGAAGAGGCACTGCTGTTGCTCCCAGAACTGGCTGCACTTCCAGTGCTGGTGGATCTGCTTAAAATGGGGCCCCTGGCATTACTTGGGAGTCCCACGTGTCCCACGTGGCTTGTAGGTCTCTGCTCATAGTTGTTATTCACATTGATTGGAATGATTTCATGAGTTCGTTCATGCTTTTCTTGTCTTGGTGCTGTCCGTGGAGCAGGTCTTTTTACCACCGAAGGCCCTTCTGTGTACTCATTGCTGCCTCTGATGGCCTTAATCTGGTCTAAAGACAAAATAGTAGCAGGCTGAATCTCTCTCTCATAGTCTAATCGCTGACGGCCATCCAGAGAAGGCTGCTGGAGCACAACTAGTGAACTGCCACTGCCATGTTGATTTTGGGGATCCATGTGTAGTGATCGTGGATTCTGGCAATCAGTGGAAACCTGGCATGCATCTGAAATCCTAAAAAAAGAAACCAAAAATGAAAACAACCAAAACAGAGAGAGAGAGACAGAGAGAGAGAGAGAGAGAGAGAGAGAGAGAGAGAGAGAGAAGAGAGAGAGAGAATAAATGACAGGAAGCATTTCAGGCAGGGAGGAAATCCTGTCAAGTCACAAATTGCCTAAACCACCTGGTAATGATCTCCTTCATCAGCGGATTACAATGATGCTGGGGTCCTGGCCAGAGTCCAATTCCAAGAGAGGCTGTGGACCACATCATACGACAAAAATGTAAGCAAAAGACCCCGTGCCATAAAAATTAGAGGTTTTCCCGGCTTTTAAAAAGTAGAAGCAAGAAGGAAGTAATGTCTTCCTGTTTATGACTCTAACAAAAATTAAAATGAAATATGCCTTTGTAGGGAATATTGAATGCAAGACCACAGTAGCTCTCATCTAGAGAAAGCTCATTGTCAAATCATTAGCACTTTCATGAAGCAAAATGTCTACTGCTTTTTAAAACTCAAGACTGACTTTGGTGCCTTGTTTGTCTATATGGTGTTACATGCTTCAGATTAATGATGAGGAAATTAACCAAGGCATTTTCCAAAACACTACAAATATTCCATACTAAAATGGAATCTCAAAATCAGGTCATTTTCAGCAGAAATCAGGATTCTAAATTAGCTCATTACTCGTCTATGGAACATAAAGATGAATGTATGAAGAATAAAATAGTTCTTGAGGTCGTATAAGCACTAACAGATACAGTTCAATGTAGTATTCTGTGAATAAGAGAATTCCTAATTCAAATAGTGAAACCTTTCATAAGCTTAAATTGGGGTGCACTTGTGTAACAAGATAACTTTAATGTACAAGTGGTAGGCCTCCAAAGCAGTGTGGAGAAATTCTGGCTCTTGTAATTCTCTATTTCCTCTAACTTAAAAAACTACTTGTGTGACAGATAATCATTTTTAAAAATCACCTTGAGAATTGTGAATCAATGTACTTGTAATAAATAAGCACACTAATGTCCTCAGATAAAATAAGCATATCTTCATACTAGTAGTAACTTTTAATTTATAATGCATTATGCATAAAACAAATTACCAAATACAAAAATGTTCCCACTTACGGCCAATAGTAGATTAGAATATTTTTCACACAAATATCTTTCAAAGTCTACAGATGCAACTCAGTTTAAGATTGTAAAAAA